GCTGTTGTCAATGTTGTTTGTGTTCTTGCAAAGGGTTTCAAGCTTGTTGATTCCTCCTCTCTTCTCTAGGTCTTGTGCAAGTGTGGCCATACACTAGCCTAAAACAAAGTCACATGGCTGATGAGAGGAGGAGGGGGAGGATCAAGCAATTAAAGTAAATATACCTGGCATTGATCCAATCCTGCTCCATATTAATAGTACTCCTCTACAGTTTATTACTAGCACGCCTGTTCAATCCATATTGCTGGTGGGCTACCAAATTGTGGCGTGAAACGCACAGTAAAAAGGCTAAATTGGAAGGGTCCTTGGTTGTTGTCGTTCAGCAATTGAAAACATAATTATGACTTGCTCAGTCATCATTCATAGCATTTGCAAAGTGGGGGAAAGTACTTGTATTATTAGTACTGTGGACAAAACAAAATTAAAGGAAATAAAACCACTCTGGCGGCTGCTTGCTGATACCTAAATAAGAATAGAATTTGTTTGATTTGTTCTGTAGTACTATTACTAGTAGTACTAGTATGGTTGGTATATTGTCAATGTTCTTGTTGTTTGTTGGTGTTGTGGTGTACTAGAACAAGAAGAAATAGGAGGAGCAGGAGGAGACAACAATGTCAAAATCTTGTTGATCTCCATCAATCTCCTCCTTTATTCCATGACCTCCAATAGCTGTTGCTCTTAATATTGACATTATAATGTATATAGTACTTACCATAATTTATCTTCACATTTGCACAAAAAGGCTTTGTAAAGCTCAGCTCCAATCTGCCTTCACACAACACCATGAAAGAACAATTATCAGAATCATATCCAGAAAAACATCATCATTCAGTAGTTGTGAAAGATGCAGCAGTGGCCTCTCCTACAATCTGCCTGCCGAGTACCACCAACTTTTTGAGCTCAGTAATGATGCTTGTCAGTTCTTCATCAGTTCATTTACTGTCAGTCACTACATTTTTGTATCAGCACACGAAACATCTGTGAATCCAACTGCAACAACATTGTCACTTTTACATGCTTCTGCAATAGGATGGTCACAGATGGAGAAGTCTTCACCAATTGTGCAGTTATGACCTGGATTTCTGGAATCTTTTGAACTGCATAGAAATTATTCAACTTTGGTTGTCTTGGTTTGATCTTTTTCCAATTATTTTGAGCTAGTTCCCATAACCCAAATATTGTTCTTGAATATCTGGAACTTTCCTTCTGCATCAAAGTGGAAGGAAATTCATGTATCAACAAAGGAGACATGACCATCATTATGTTTCTTGGAGATCCAAGCACCTGAAAGACAACAAAACAATATTAGTTATGCTGGAGGTGAGTGTTTGGAGCTGAAAACAAAATACAAGGTCATAGCAGAATATGAAAAACAATATTGAAAGACCACCACCATCCACACATGCATTCTTCTTGAATGACTCAATCTTTGTGTTGCTATCATTGATTGCAGTCCAGGCTGGACCATTAAACATATCCATACTAAGTGTGACTAGCATAGCAAAGAGCATTAGAAACAAAGTAGAGAACACCTAAAATAGTTTAATGTCATCTAGTCATGTAGCAAACCAACAGAAACTGTCATAGTAGAGCATTGATGCTAATGTATCAAGATCTCTGTTTTCTGTGACCATAAAGTTAGACCAAGGGTCTTCTACATTATCTTTCATTACTTCAAATTTTATAGTCTCTTCTGATTTCAACACCAACTTGCTATGTAAAGGGACTTCAATACTAATTGGCTGATCTAGTATTACAGTGTTGTCTGTACTAACTTTTCCTTCAATGTGGAGAGTGATTCCTACAATAAAGTAGTCAAGTTCTTCTTCTTTCATTAAGAATAGCAATGCTACTAATTGGGACTTGAGCTTAGATTATCATTCCTCCTTTTTTGCATGTATTCTTGAAGTGGTTGCAAACTGGAGATTCCTTGACTAGTACTGTCATCAGTATTGCCACCATCTTTGTAGTAGTGGAGAATACTATTTTCTTGTAACCATTTAATTGGTGATACCTCTACTAGTACTTTGTTGATATTTACATTATTATGCTTCAGGGCAAGTGCCTGCTGATCACTTAAAATTTTCACACTAATACCATTTCAATTATAGTAGCTTCAGCCTTTCTGTGGTTGCTTTGTAAAAGATTGCAAATTTGAATTCTTCATATTTTGCAGCACCATGTGTTTTAGAGGAGAAGCAACAAGAATGTCTTTAGCAGTAATAGTAGTCATTCATTACCTTCTTCTTGTTTGTTCTCAATCACTATCAAAGAGAGCTTGTTAACTCTCAGCAGTGCAACTTCAGAAGTTTAAGGAAATTAGGAATGTATATTCTAACCCTTTTTGCTTTTGAAAACAAGAGCTAACTTTACTTTTATTATCCCTATTTTTGGATGTTCTGGGCAATCACCTCCTGCTGGTGTCAGTGATTCATTGAAGATTGCAAAAGGTGCTGGTGGTTTCCAATTATACTGTTCTCTCAGCATTACTAGTAGCTAGCACCATTAGTAAAGAAAATAAAATATTGGGAAACACCATGATGCTACTACTAGTAGTAGCTTTTACATTGTTGTACTCTGTCAAAGGAATACATTATCAGTAATTGATCATGTCAATTTGAGTAACAACAAGAAGGAACATTGAAAGGTTCAATTTCAAATACAGCTRCAACTTGAGAGATCTGACAAAATAACTGCACCCTGCTACTCTGTACAGGAATGAGTGGAAGGAACTGTTTGCCATGGATCCATTATATTCATTAGGATGGCTGTCTACTGTGTCTGCTACTACCATCCAAGGTACCAAGAAGGTGGCACTGATCTCCAATTGCTAAAAGCCCCATGAGGAACAACCAGCACCACTGTTCCCCAAGCCAGGACAACCAAGGATGACAGGATACTAACAGCCTTGGCATGCTAGCCTATCATAGGATAGATTGCATCAAGAAGGAAGTGAAAGAATAGTACTACTTCTTGTGAAGATGGAATTACTGGAAGAACTAAATTGTGTGATAATGTTGTGTTTGAAGAAACAAGTGTCAAATTCAGTTCTGAAGTTGTTCCAAGAATGAGGAGTAACTTGCACCAAATACTTTTCATGAATGGGACTGCAAACATGTTGGAAAGAAATGTAATTTGCAATTTGGTTAGTTGAGAAAGGATAGTGTCACCATGCAGGAGGATATTCTAGTGATGGTCTGGTTATTTTCAAAGTTGTACTAGTAGAAGCTGGTGGTGCAATAAATGAGGGTTTTGATCATAGGATCAATAATTTGTGGGTCAAGAGCAGTGTTATGCTGAGTAGTTTTGCTTGCAAGAATATATGACCTCAGTACATGATGTTGATGTGCTGAACATGTTGATTCAAACACCAGAAGAGGGAAATTTGGATGTCAAGTTCTAGTAGTACAAAAAGGACCAGAATCAAAATGWGGATTGAGATAAGTTACTACTACTAGTAGTACTATTCTTGAGCTTCTTCCATCTCCCACACACTTAGTTGAAACCTTTCTTCTCCCTCCAGCCATGAAGATGTTACTGTCATATGAAAAATAGAATTAGTTATCCACAAGGAGGAGTGTATTGAATTTTATGATCCACTGAGACCTGACACAAGAAAGATGGAGTCATTACAKTGGAGTTCTACAAAAGCTAACAATAATCTGAAGACAAGAATGATGAAATTTGAGATTTGAACTTCCACATCATGGTTCAACCTGACTTTCTGTTGTTTTCACTATCATCACATGCCAGAGAGGCTTCTTTATGCTCCAAGTTGTTACAAGTTTTTGCCAGGCTTTCTATAGCTGTTGGTGGCGTCGTTAAATGACTGTCAGAACCTGTTCAACTGGTAAAATGAAAATCATAAGCTAAAATCCAGCAGTCTCTTTCTTCATGAGGAGCTATCAAGTGTGTCAGATATATTCCATTTATAAAATCTTCATAACTGTATAACTGTATACGAATAGATCTGTTAAGTGCAAAAAGAAGCATTCCAATCGCCCAAATAATGACTTATTTCAGTACTAAAGGTGCAAAAGAAGGGAAATTTCATTGGGAATGGAGGAGGAAGTAGTAGTTTGTTGTTGTTACTAGTATGCCCACTGTCAAAGTGAAGTCAAATTGCTGATGCTAGTAGTACTAGTAGTACAATAAGAAAAACAAACCTGCTCCAGGGGTCTAGTAGTACTACTACTAGTAGTAGAAGTAGTACTAAGAGTGAGGACAGCTCGTCAGAGAGAAGCTACTACTTAGTAGTACTACTACTACTGTTAGTAGTAACTACTGTTACGACTAGTAGCATTAGCAGTAGCAGTAATAGTACTACTAGTACTGGTACCAGAGTTGTTTGCGGTACTAGGTGTATTGGTAGTACTAATTCTACTGCAGTAAATACGAGGATGACAAGAGAAAATTTGTTGTGGCTCATAAGCTCGCGCTTAGGAGATCCTCCGTTCAGAAAAAAGACATTCCTATTCGCAAGACCAACAACAATTATTGCGATTTGACAATACTGAATGGCCCTCTCTGAAAAAACGCGCCAAAAATCGGCTGCCCATGGGATAGCCCGGTTGCGTGCGTACCATCGTTTTCCGAGCCGGCCCTCTTACTTAGACGGAAAAATAAAACTTCGACGGAAATCAAAAGGAGTCGCAGGAAAATAACGACAATTTTGTTCGTGATTGCTTACGGGCTGAAACAAAAAGAACAACGAACGTTCGAACGGTTGCGTTCCCCCGTCCTGAAAAAACACTCGCGAGGGAATTCATAAAGGTTCGTTCTACGTACCTACCTACATACCGTACTGTGCGTCACGTGTATTGAACACGTCGAAAATACAGCAAGATCAAGAGTCACGAAACACATGAAGAAGGAAATCGAACCTACGAGTGCTTACGAATACAAAAATAGGAGTATCACCGAGGTTTCTTTACAMAACAACATTCAACACCAGCACCCCACAACCAGCGGGTTCTGTAGACCAGATAATCACTTGAAAGCACACGACAACCTTGGTGGGAATACAGGCAACTCCAACTAAGACTGCAACCCGTACYGTGGTTTTGATTCGTTGTGAGCAGCAAACACATACCTTGTAGTTCACGAACATTCGCAAGGAAACATTCACAGCTCTTTGTTTCAGAGTGTCACGCACCTCGAGAACCATTTTGTTAGAGTWATCGAATCTCTGAGCACCTAGGAGGTCTTGCATCGAGCACGATTGAAACGGTTCGACTCAATAGGATARCATAGCGATAGATCGAAACGCAACAATAGAAACGTTGTTGACACCTAGGAGTGCAAACCTCCGGATTTTGTCTCTAATTCCAGAAGACCTTCCAAACAACACTAGGAGTCCCAACAGAGGATAATTTYCCTCTCTAGTGAATCGCAAGCTCTAAATCTGTACGACAGAAATTAACGATCARTACTCGTAGCCGGGCGTACGAAAACGATGAAACGAACACACAACACCAACAGCGGCTTCAGAATGGCGTCTTCCTGCTTGCTTCTCGGATTGGTTCTTTTGGCATCTGTGAGCTCTCTCGCAAAGGCCGAGTCGGAAGAAAGTCACTCTTTGCTGCGAGGACGAAACCTTATCATCGGAGGAGGCACGACTGGGGACCGGTTTCCCTATTACGTTGCCCTGAAGGATGCCAACAGAGAAATCCAGTGCGGGGGGACTCTGATCGCACCCGACATCGTTCTGACTGCGGCTCACTGCAGGAAGTAAGTAGGAACACAACCATTTCTGCTCTGTGTATTATCGATGATTTCCTTTGCAAGATTGGAAGCAGAGATCAGTTATTCCTTTCCTGTGTGACGATTCGATGATGGTTTTGGCAGCCGCACCTCTACCACGAACGGGATTGGGTCCCGGTTCTTTCTATCGAAATCTCTCTTTTTTTCTATCAAACTATGAACCGCAACCGTTTCCTTCGACCGTGCTGCTTGTGCTCACTTTTTGCCTTGTCCACCATGCCTTTGTTTCCCGTTCATCGCATCGTATCCACAATCGATTCAGTTCCGATTTGATATACGCAGACGTTGGCAAGTATTCGAACATCGAAGAGGATGGGGACGAAGAAATTGAAATCGTGGATCCCTTGTTGATGAAGTCCGCTGCAGCTACTGGGGGCACCGTCGGCATGCTGGAATCCTCCGGTGCGGCTACCATCGACAAGTCCGGCTTCATCCATCCCCAGCATGACTTACAGAAACGATCCTACGACGTAATGCTCATGAAGCTCAAGAAGCCAGCTCTCGGMAGAAAATTGATGAAGATCAACGAAGACCCCGCATTTCCCGTGAAGCAGGCCGGCGGCCGAAACGAAATCACCATCATCGGGATGGGCACCACATCCACGAACGGATTTGCGCCCAAGCCGGACGAACTKAAACAGGTGCACGTGGACTACCTTACCTACGAGGAGTGCATTAAGACCAACAGCTTCAATCTCAATTATAAATTTGAACTCYTTCCGCACATGATGTGCACGTTTGGATCGGGAATATACTCCCAGCGTGGGCAGTGTTATGGAGATTCCGGAGGTGAGTGCATTTTGCGTTGAAGTTGCTCGTTTCGTCGTTCTTTTTTTCGTGTGTCGCTTTTCTCCACGGACTTTCAMTGTCTGCAGACCCAAAAAACCAACCCGTGTTGTCTTTCTTACGTATTTTTCMCTGATCTGCAGGACCTTACATCGTCAAGGGAAGGTCTGCCGCTGAGGATACTCAGGTGGCGGTTGTCTCGTGGGCGGTCAACTGCGCAAGCGATGTCTTTCCCATGGTGGGGTCACGAACCAGCGACCCACACACCCTGAAGTTCATCAAAGAAGTTACCTGTTCYATGTCGACAATGCCTCCCCAGGGCTTGTGTAGCGAGGAAAACAACGGCGCCAGCAATCTATCGAGCCGACTCAATGTTCCGAAYGGAGTAACCGTTTCTGTTCGCATCTTTGCAGATCCGTTCGGCCACGAACTCAAGTGGCAGCTCGTGGACCGATCGGACGAGAAGCTTGTTTACGCCGAAATCCCTTACGGAATGATCAGCGGAGACCACTTGTTTCAGGACGTTGTGGTCCCCGCCGGCGGAGAGCTCAAATTCAAGATCGATGACGCCGCTCAGGACGGAATTTTTGGAGACTCCGATGCCATTCTTTACGAAATCGTCCTCCAAGACCAGAACACAAACAAYGAAATCATCATGGTGGAAGGAAATGGTAAATTTGGGAATTCCAAAGAGGAGGATTTCCGTGTTCCGCTGGTTGGCGAGAATACGGCTGCTTATTTCCGTGCCGCTAACGAAGACGTGGCTTCGGATCGATATGCATCCGTCACCGGTCCTACCGCCCCCTTGAAAATATACATCAAGTTTGCTGACTACCATGAAGATACCGCCTGGAAGGTTACTTCGGTCGATGGGACGAAAATCTTTGCCTCGAAGAATGCTAACAGTTATCGCTTAGGGGACGATGTTACGGAAGAAGTGGATCTTCCGGCCGGCCAGTACAGATTCACCATATCCGATCGTCGAGGCACGGACGAGTACCGAGCGTTCAAGTTCTACCAGCTTTCGTACCTCGACAGGAAGAYGCAACGAAGCGGTCTGACCGGTGGAGAAACGATTGTCTATACAAGCGATGGCACCTTCGAGGGCGAAAGTATTAGCCACGACTTTGTGATCCCGGTTGCAGCAGTTGACGATTCGTCTTCGTATTCCAGCTCGCCGGCGGACCAAGGAATTATTTTTGGCGAACTGGACTTGATGGACGAGGCCCAAGAAGCMCCAGCCGTAAAGGTTGAAGAAAAACCCTCCGAAATGRCTCAAGACGAAGAAATCTGCACAGGTGTAGCTGACGGGGATTACTGTGTATCAAATGCTAGTTGCTGCAGTAAGTTCTGCAGGGGATTTCGATGCCAACCCGACCCTAACGTGAAAGCCCCTGTTTCAACTGTGACCGGACGCCAGCGAGTCAAGACTGGAAGCTACGGTGGGTACGGTGGGTCTAGCCGGGGAGGAGGGTACGCTCGGGCTTAATGGCGGAAGAATGTCTTMCATGGTTGTATTGAGCGATAGATGCACGCCTCGYGATTCAGCACCTTTTCGACATCTACACATCAATAATCATTCACACGCCCAGAGAGTCGCAATCATAWAAGCTTCCTCAGAAACAACCACARAAAGACACTCCATTGAATTTAGACACTTTCTCCTAGATAGAAGAATGAATGGACGGTTTCATCCGACCGACAAAAGAAGTAAGAGGGAAGTTCGGGTTTCACTTTCCAACAATATCAAGAAACACATTCGAAGCAGGCAGCGCGTAGGACTGACGCCGGTGTGCCACTGCAATTTCAATATAGAGAACGAAGTTCATGCATGTATTTTATCAAAATCACTACAAATCAAAACAAACATCCGAATACAACTAATAACAATAAAAGTTTAAAATCCTTAAAAGAGCAAATAAATCCAAGAATACTGTTAACACAACTTAAATCTTTTAAATTCATTACTTGTTGATGGCTCACAAACTTGCTTTTTTGTTTCACGTTTGTTTAACATCGTCTGTGATTCTCAACTAGGACATCACTCCACCACCGTTATCATTAATGGGACAATAGAAAGACCCACCATTTGAACGGTCCAATGAATTGAAACTGGACAAAAAGAAAGAAGGGTAATGAAAACGACTATCAGATGTAGTGTTATCGACGTTTGATGGGGTCGGAGCTGAGTAATCCATACGGGGGTAGAACGCTAGTCTGGATTGGACCATATGGACTTGTGAAATAGCGTAGTGGTCAAACTTCTAAAAGTTTTCASAGTGCACAATCAATTTGCATTTGCACGCTTTCCCTTCTAGATGCTTTACAGCAAAATGGTGCTGAGCGGTGACGTTTGCGGCGATTAATTGTAGATCTTTTGCGATGGCCGGGCTTCCGCAAAAGAAAACACCAACCCTTTCCCCCTTCGGATTTGTCACGTGGGCTTTTGCCAACGCCTTTGTGAAAATCTTATTCCAATCCGGACGTCCAGGGTGGAAGTAAGGACTGTGGTCTTTGCTGGCCATAGATGCCTCGACGTCGATTCCGTCCCCCTTGCTTCCCATCATCTGGGTGATCAAGGTCCGTTCAGACTTTTTATTTTCATGCTTTTCTCGGGTGCCGTAAAACTCCATTGAAAAAACGTCTGTAAGACCGAATTGCATTATTTTTGGCAACAGACATCTGGCGGCAAACCGCATGCTCGCGTATGTTCGATTGATCAGGATTCCATCGATCGAACAGATTTCGTTTTCGCCGCTATCATCGTTATCGGCATCGTTGTCAAACCCAACCATGATTGCCTTTTTAYTAGCACGTTTGTTACCCGATTTCTCCTTTTTGGAGGTGGAGTGATCGTGTGGCTTCAGGATCATGAAGTAGATGTGAAATACGCGAATTCCGTGCAGGGCGACCACTAGACCAAACATCACGAGATAGGCAGTATTGCTTGTAGACCGGCCACGGATAGAGAGCCAGAAAGCAATGGTATCGACAAGAATGATGCTGCACTCCAACCAGCACTTAAAGAGCCTGAAGTACCAGCTACAACCTAACGCAATTGTTGACACAATTGCTATCGTTCCGTGAACCAACAAAGCAATYAGGGATAGGATGGCCCCYAGGGCATTAGCGGACATGTAAAATCGGAAAATCTGAAGGACAATTATGACCGTCTCTCCCAAAATAAACAAGATGAAAAGGCACAACGATACTGTCATTGATTCTAAAACCTTTTCCCATTTGAGGCATTTCATTCGAAGCTCGCTGAATTCAGCYAAGTCCTCAGTRTCCCAGGTTGCCAAACTACTATTGTGGCCGCGAAAACTTGTTCCAAGACCAAGACTGAATTCTCGGGATTGAAAACCATCAATTTGGAAGGAAGCGATACTGCTATTGAGTTTTTCCATGACGCTCGATCGAATGGAATGTATTCCGTAGCCGTTCTGACTCATTTCTCTCCCCTTTGCCATCAGGTACTTCCAGATTGAAAGCAGTGGCGTGACACCCACACCAGATCCGATCACAACAATGTGCTGGTACTCGAAGTAGTTCATCGCCGGCGCACCATGTGGACCCCGGAGCTCAATTGTTACGGGGTTGATGCTCTTCGTAAGATCATAAGCCGAGGCGTAGTCAAACAATGCCTGGGTCCAACGTCCYACATTTTTAATRCAGAAGACGAGTTTCTTCTGCTCCTCGTCTACTTCGAATGTGTGGTGGGGACCTTCCTCGTACGGGTAGTTGGGGGCGCTCGCAATAGTGAACGGATGCCATTCGGAGCGGGAGATTGGGAGGAATTTCAGCTCGGCGTACTGGCCCGGGGTGTACTTRAAATCCTTTGGGCATTCGGTCACAAGCTCCGTGATTTGCTGCCCGTCGTCRTCRTGGGCCTGCCACTTTATCACCTTAACAGTGCTCACATTTTTTCGTCTCATGAGCACRTCAAAGAGATATAGGAGCAAAGGCAGCAATGCGACATAGAGAAAAAGGGGATRACCTCGACAGCTACCGTGGACAATCAATAACGGGTAAGCCGTAGCGACCCCCCCCATATGGAAGAACCAAAACCAGCGAAACCCTGCAGTGGTTTTGCGAAAGCACTTGAGGGTAGTCAGGAAGAAAGTGGAAAAGATAATCGTGAGCAGCGTGCCCGTAATAAGAAGCTGTTTCGTSGCAAAACCATCGCCAAAGGTCCAGAAGCGTAATCCCTCGTGGTTCATGGTAATTGAGGCYGTGGCATAATTTACAATCTGGGGTAGGGTATGGATAAYGCATCCGSAAAAAATGATTGTCAGCGCCACATATCGGTGGTACTTTGGCATTATGTCATCTGTAAGGAAGGCAATCGGGATGACAGGGACTACGTGAGTTCGAACGCACGTCCACAAGTACTTGCAGGCTGTCAGCAAGAGAATTGCGCAGTTTATGGTGACCAATCTTCCTCCGGCACGGGCAATGGGCAGGGTCACCCTTAAAATGTCGTCTTCTGTGGTCCACCCACCGACTTCCGTGAACTGGTAGGCCCCAGTGGCTGCCGCCAGTAGGTTCAACATCAAGTACAGGATTCCCAGAAATATTCCCATCCCGTGGTTTGTGAAGAAGACCTCAACGCGCTCGGCCTTTTGCTCGGTTGGGCTTCGGCTGATCTTAAAGCGCTCGGCCTTCTGGGTTGCAGCATATCTCGTACGTTTGCCACTCGATATATCCCGATCGGACACATATGCCCTAGTAAACGAGGACAACTTGGTCATCATTCCACTCTTGCGCCGTGAACCAGCATTTGTCTGACAGTTCGTATCGAAAGAAACGTGCTGCTTGCTTTGAGAAGCGTCTTGTTTTTGGAGGCAGCTGATGCTCCCTAAGCTGTGCAGGCTTGGATGGGGATCATCACCACGTTGGCATTCCGTGCCGTCCTYTTTTCCAGGTCCGAAGTCTATGGTCAGCGATGTCTCGCTCTTGCCGGTCACATCTCGGCTCTGGAATACAACCTTGGATTTATCGCGAATGTCGCTGCTGCGCTTAAGTGGCTTGTTCTTGTTCTTGTTCTTGGTCGTTGGTTGTCGGTTATCGTCATTTCCAGAATCTTCGGTTACAGCTACAAGTGCACTGACAGCGCTTTCCGAGGTTTCTGCTCGTTGTGATTGATCTTCCTGTTTGGTCATGGAAGATAATCGTTTTTGCAAATTTATTTATGTGTATTTGTTCTTTTTAAAGGTTTGTGTGTATAGCAAGGTGGGTTCGTAGGTGAAAAGTAAATTAAACGAAACAAGGAGATAATATATTCCACTCAGGAATGTTAACTTGCTTGCTCTTTGTGTGTATGATACTTGAATGTATGGAGTATACTATATTTTCCGATTCCTATTATTGTTACTTCTAGAGTGATAGAGAAGAGGCGACGTTAGTTTGTATTTGTAAAGTCTCCTTATAGCTCGTGAGCCATCCGATCTCGTCCAGGTATGTGTGGTGGTATGCGATGAGTAATCMGCCGGTTCTGATGTTGAACGAAAAATTAGATCGTTTGTACAGCCACAGTGTGGGCTACTATCCTCGCATAAGTGTGGTGATATGACGGCGCGGCACATTGAACATCACCATTAGGAGAAATCATACAAAGTTTGATCCAATCTATCTATCGTGTCYTCCTACGTACCAGTTTTTAGATTGTTCTGTTGTCCGTCAGAGTGATATGCTCTCCCTTGAGCAAAGCAAATATTGTTCAATGGCGACTCTAATTTTGTGACGATACACAATTGGTAACTATGGCAAAAATCAAAGGATCCCAAATCGAAAGAATTTTCGTAGGATGCAGAACTTCAAGGTTGCATCACTCATCACATTACGTAGTCTGTAGTCCTGTGCATTATCTTGCACTTAAGTAGGTATGTACTGGGTACGAACTGTACATCACCTCCTCACGTGTACAGAGAATACTACGAAGGAATAATATTTTCTTACTGTATTTGTTTAAGGTTCATCTTGTAAGACCCGTAAAGTATTCTTAGTCGTTCCTGCGCAGTGGGGATCTGATGAAAAATAGAATGTCAGTGATATAAGCCAGATTGAAAAGAAAAGCAGCATAATAAGATGTCTGCTTTGTTTTATCTATGACTTCTTTTGATCTTAATYCTGATCGTAATTGCACCTTTCATCGATTAAGTCGGTCGTCATTTCAAAAACTAATACAGTACAGTAATACTTGAAAGGTAAGGAGCAGTACACCGTGCACACCGACCGTACGATTCACATACAGTAACGTACCGTACTTTGTTGTCCAGATAAACAAAGCGAAAATTTTAAATTTCTTGCTTTTGACAAGTAAAGTGTCAACAGCAGATGTTCTGCAAGCTGTTGAAACGTATATTTCCAACTGCTTTATTACGTGGTTCGCCTTCCGAATTTCCACAAAAAGTTCCGGAACTCGTAGTGAAGATGGCTCGTTCAGGACGAAACACTCCGTCAGTAGGGCACTGTACGCAGAGTACGGTACGGTATTGTGGTCACTGGGTGAAGAGACCAGTGGCTCATAACCTACGAGATGCTCACAGGCTGTCTCCCGTTGTTTACAATAAAGAGTGAGGTTATTCGCTATCTACTCGTGATTGTACTGTCTCACAGAGATAGATGTCTATTTTATTCAGTACGAACTAGTACGTACTTTTACGAGTACGGTCACTTACTACAGTAGTGGGTACTCGTAACGGTCCGTACGTAATCATGTCCTAGTCGTGATCTACTCGCACATTATGTTGTGATTGCAGTGATATCACTGCTAATGTGCTCTTGTTCTAAAAAACAAGAAGAGGGCTACTAAAAATAGTGATACAGTAATGTTGTAGTCTTATTCGTTGGACAATCCCGGATGACCCTCCCGGTAGGAATTCAATTCAACTTTCATTACCATTATGACCAATCAACACTACATGAGTCGACGAGAAGATGCTTTGCCAACACACTACCATTGTGCGAGACGAGGGGGCAAGACCAACTCCTTCATTTTTCCTTCGCTGCATACCGTACGGTGTAGTAAATACCGGCCGATAGGGTGGGCAGTCCCACGAGGTATGTACCGGTACCGTCGTGTCACAAGAAATAAAGTAATGCAAGTAACAAATATAACTCACAAGCCATGCAGGACTCTTCGATCGTAGGCGTTGATTCCTACAGAGGYAACACAACATTCCGGCCGCAAGAACAACGCAACCCGCGGTAACTTCTGAAGAAATGTCAAGGAGGTGCAATRTTGCAGTCCAAGATCCGATCMAATCCTGTGTTTGCCGTTTCTTGCGGATGGTGTTTCGTATAGCGCCCAGGCAGGATGCATGCATGAACGTATGCATAGCTTTTGAAGGAGATATAGTTTTTAGTAAACAGCCAATTTGGGACGCAGCCTCTCGTATCAGTTTCATACCATCGTATCAACGAATCGTATCTGCAAGAATCTTGTATGATCACCACCGTACCGCACCAACGTGTCGCGTCATCGCATCACGTTAGGTCAAAGTTTCGCATCAGCAAAAAGCATCTTGCATCTTCCGRCATCAGTTTTGCCCTATTCCAATGTCTTGCATCCGCGTCACCGTGTCGTCTSGTATGCTTGTTTGCAGTAGCATCTTCTCATGGTCCGGTTTGGACAACGGCACTTGTGCTGATAGGAGTTGTTCCCTTCTAYCCCAACCCAAGTTGTACGGCTAGATACTCGTACTCGACCAAAAAAATCTAACCGAGATAGAAAATACGAGTACGTACGTACTGCAGAATGGCGTGTGCACTCGATTAATCGTACTACTAACTCGTTCGTACCATTGTGAAATGTTGATAGGCTCCTTAGTGTACGTGAA